GTTATCCTTAAATATTTGCTCTCTTTTATTTTTTAAGCTGTCAATTTCTTTAATAAATTTAACGAGCACTCTATATTTTCTGTAGATCAGTAATTCGTTTCCAACTTCTCTTTGTGACGATATCCTTGAATGCTTCCCTTCCATTCTTTGCATTATTTTAGAATATAGATCGTCCGCCCTTCTACTTCTCTCTTCATTTTGCGTCATTCGCAAACGTTTCTCGAGCAACATTACTCGACTCTTTTCTTAGTTTATCAACTATTGAGATAAGCTGCATTGCACATTGCCTTATAGTCGTTTCAATAAAGATAAACACATACCAATATGGGTATATATAGACGAGTAAACATCTAGTCTATATATCTGAATTAGCATACGAAGCTGAAGTTGTTTTCACTTAATGATGGGACAACATTCGAATTGCGTTTACTCTGTCAATATCTAATTGCAAACTGAGTACTGCTATATCAACTGATGTCTGTATGCAATATATAAACATATAGACACCTATATATTGTAGTATATGATTGTGTTGTTTATGAATGAGCGACTTTCGACTGCTGATAATTGCGGCTCGAATCCGGCGCTATAAAGATATAGCAGACGTGTGACGGTATATGTCGGTGTATATGATACGATAGGTAGATATTGATAGTTAGCAAATCAACTGGTTGGATAGAGCGTAAATATTATAATATCCGGTTTCCTCTTAACCAAATTCTATGAGTTGACTAATTGAAGAGCGTTCAGTTTTAAATATACTTACATATGTATATATTTTGCGGGTATGTATACTATATGTATTTATATTTTTTTCATGTATATGGAACGTGATGATTTTAAAGAAACAATTTTAAACGTCGTCGTTGTCGCCTTTAGTCGCTTTGATAGCCGAGGAATTTTTTCTTACTCATATTTATTTCAAGTTTAACCAACTGACTATAAACTGATTCTTTCTCCCCCTCTCTGTCTCTTTCTCACACACACACGAACACTTGTGTTGCTTTAATAGCCAAAAGAGCTAAAAAAAAAAAAAAAAATTGATAAAGCAGAAATAATGTTCTAGGCGATATTTGTTTGGAAAAGGTTTTGCTCGGTTCCATTTCTCAAAGCATTGAAAACAACAAAAACTCGAGCGAATAGCTAAACAGTGAGTAAAGCTTAATTAGCCTGGCTAATAGGGGGGCTAATTAGTGGTTCAACTCGTCGCAGTCAAATCGATTTACAGATGCCTCAAGGTGCTCTACCCAAGCGAGGGGGGCTTCGTGTTTGTGTATGTGTGTGTGAGTGTCATTGTGTGTGCATGACAGATTTCAGTTGCAAGCCGGGCACGTGTCTCAATTACACATACATACACATGTGCATGTACAACTATGCGGTTAGTAAAACTACCCCACAACAATTGCATATACATGCAGATCTACAAAGAGAGAGAGAGAGAGAGGGTATGTCATATTTGACGGTCAGTATATGACATATATAT